TCTTGAAGAGGTAACAAAAATCTCTTTATAGTCCAGGATCAAGATTCTGAGTCTTCATAAAAGGATGACAGAGGAAATGAAATAAACTGCCTTGGGGGTGGGTGGCTAGTTAATGTACCGACTCTTTTGAACTAGGTGCAGTATTTGACCATTTGACAATTGTTCAAAATAGTTAAAGAGAATTGGAATAAGTAATGGTACCAGGTCTTTTGGAACTGAATATAAGTCTTTGGGACCTATATAATACATGTCATGTAATCCCTAGTCTAAAGAAACATTTTTTATTGATTATAAAATACACATAACATGAAAGTTATCATCTTTACCATTTTTAAGTGTAGTTCAGTGGTATTGAATGTATTCACATTTTTGTGCAACCAAGAAAAATGTTTCTTAAAGGACTTTTTTTTTTTTAAGAAAAAGAGTTTGAGAACTAAATAATAATGATGTTTGTCTTGTGGGGGAAATGTCCTGTACAGTAACTTGATTTTTTTTCTTTTACCTTCAGAAATACACTCTCTGTGATGGTAATCATTAGTCCTAAATTATGAGAGTAAACAGTTTGAGCATCAGTGATCTGCAGTAGCTTTCACTTATCACCAATACTTTTCCTTTGCCAAAAAGAAGAGTCTATTGAAAATAGGTTGTTAACAATGAAAACAGATTTTTTGGTTTTTTTTTTTTTTTTTCAATTTATTGCAGTAAGGAATTATTGGAAATTGAGTGAACTAAGAAAATAATATGAGTTCCATTTTTATGGTTACTTATTAAGTTGAAGTTATAAGAATCCTTGACATATTCGTGTAGAGTGAGGTATGAAGAATTGTTCCCTTGAGTGGCAGAACAAACACAATTAGGTAATTTTGCTGTGGAGAGTGACTTGCTAAAATGACAAAAATCAGGGACTCTGGTCCCTTCAAAACAATATATTAGTTAAAATTGCTTGATGAAAAATAACTATTTGTGGGATATTTAAATGGTTTTACTATTCATAGCCATTTGTTATGTGGCATTTACTATGATGTAATTTCATGACTTTATGTGTTTGCTGTTCCTAAACTAGAAATGCCTTTCCTTTGATATTGATGTTCTTCAACCTTTTTATATCCACCTTTCTTTTTTGATAAACATTGAAATCTTATAGGTCCTAGGAGATTTTAACATGTGCCCCTCATCCCCACAACCCTCTCATACTAAATATAAAGTTTCCTTTGTAATTCCCTCATTCAAGAATATTTTGCAGAGCTCTATTTTATATGATTTATGAAAATAGATTTTTAATATTCAATAGCTATTTTCAAACTGCATAACTGCTCACCTTAATGTGGCCCCTACTGAGAAGAGAGGACACCCCCTACATAGCTGAGCAGGCTGAGTAATGCCGTATTTATGTTTACCTCAAGGGATAGAACATCACATGCCCAGTTTCCCTTTTGGAGTTATATTGTTTAGTTGTGTACTTCAGCCCATAGAATTTAATAAACAATCTGGAAAAAAGTATGACTGGAGAATAAAAAGAAGCGAGGCCAAGCTGAGACTCATTGGTGTGGTCTCTGACTGTGAAGTCAACTTTTAACTCTGAGAAGATAACACAAAACGTTTGATGAAGTTGTAACATCCAGCAAAATGGAGAACCTGATCAAATCTTTCGGTTTGATCAGTGGGGTTGTCTTACCTTGTTTATCTTGATGCATTTAGCCAACAAGCTTATGGAAAAATACAGAAAATCCAAATTCTGACACTGCTAGATCTATGATATTTGAGTTTCTATTATTTCAGTTGCCTGATTGAGACACAGTAACAGTACAGTGTAGTGTGCTATGGGTATATCCATAACCCAAGTTTACAATCTGGAATGTGAGACTGGAAATACAAGCTGTCATTTTGGGGAATTGGTTGCTTGTATCATGGAACTCTCTTAAAAGTGGGAAATGATCATAACTAAATGTTAGGAGTGACAGTTCTCTTCCATTTTCATCAAGTAAAGAAAACACAAATACTTTTGAGTGTCGTTAGAGGTTTACCTTAACTATCTAAGACAGAGGATGTTCTTTTATTTATGTGTATGTACTACATTATTGACTTATTTTCTGCTTTTTTGTTTCTGTTGCTTTTTGATGACAAAGCAAACAGATATAGAAAGATAGGATATATCTCTCACTTATTCACCTCTTTGATTGCTAAAGTGGTAACTTTTCTGAAATAGAATTGAACTCATTTGTACCGCAAGGGTTTGGGAAAAGCAGGTGACTTTTCTAGGGCACAGTGGAAGAGGTAGCAGTTACTCAAGGTGATTTCTTTCCTCCAACCTGAAACTGCTTTAGATTTAAACTGGCTACTCACCACAAGCATGAACACTGGCAGAACTACTTACACAGAAGCAGAATAGTCTCAGCAGTGGGGAAAACCCAGCAGAGGGCCCTTTCATATCTCCCAAATCATCCACACTTGTCTACCAT